GCCGACAGACACAACTATAGAACAATGGTGTCAGCTCTGGAACTCAGGTACGGAACCCAGAATCAGTCAGAAGTCTACAGGGCAAGGTTTAGGACGAGAATCCGTGCTAAAGGGGAGAGCCTGCAAGAACTGGTACAAGACTTGGAAAGCATGGTACAAAAGGCCTACACAACTGCACCACCCGATCTCCTCAAGTTGTTGCTGAGGGATCAGTTCGTAGATGCCTTGGACAGTCCACAACTTAAGATACAAGTGAAGCAAGCACACCCCTCTACCATGCAGGATGCAATGGCCAGAGCTCTCGAATTTGAATCCTACGTTAAGTCCAGCACAGAGGTACCGAGGTTGGTACAGTCATCTGGATTCAAGGCCAGAAAAGGTCTGCCTTCAGAGAGATTTGAAAGACTTTGCTGACATTGTAATAAACCTGGGCACAAGAGAGCTCAATGCTGGAAACTTCAACACAGGGGAGACGATACAGCAGTAAGGGCTGGTATCCAGAAAAGTTGTTGGAACTGTGGAAAGCACGGACATTTGAGGAGCCAGTGTAGGAGGAATATTACCAACAAGTTGGCCTCAAGGAGACCAGTAGTGGTTGGTGTTGAGCGACGCCCAAATAATTCATGTAAAAGGCAGTGCACACTTCAGCAGCTAATAGCAAACTTCATAATAACCAATATCCTGTGGTCATATCGCCAAAATTTCTTGTTACTTATCGACTCTGGGGTATATTCAGATGAACTGAACTTGCTTCGCTGAAGTTTCTCGGAAAGAATTTTTACCGGAAATTATCAAACAAGCAGATACGCAACAAAAGAAACAAACTTAAATCGAAACAAGACCAACTAAACGGTCTTCTTAACCATGCGTTATGTGCACATTGCACTTATTCAAACCAAAGAATGAATTTAGTGTCAATATTATAACATTACGAGAAGAAAAAACCCGTATACAGCTTTCAATATAAATAAAGATAATTTTATGATTTACGTCATGTGTCCACACAATTTATTCTCTTAAACTAAAACCCAATCATTCAGTCAACTTGATGTTTACTCTATAGTTATCCTTCGTGAATCTCCCGTTATAAAGTAGGCCTACTTTTAGTATTTTAGTTTTTCAATTTATCGTTGAACCACGGGAGGGCAAGGATTATGCATGTTTTGATTTGTGTAAAAAAAGATGGTAATATTAGTTGTTTTTTCTTACAACATTTGTCAGTTTTTCCCAAATTAATGAACACACCTAATTTCAAGGTTATCACACTTTTTAAAACTTTCTTATCAATCAATTACACTTTTAGTCAATAATTTTTTATCCTTGTTGTTTGCGATATATATATATATATTTTCCTTTGGTGTCAGATATATCACTGAATATAAAGAAGTGCAGGGTGCAGAGCTCACACCTCACTTGCCAGAATAATTCACCAAAACATCAAATGAAATGAAATTTAACTCATTTCAACATTTTTCATAAACTATAATATGTCAGAAGAAATACCATCAATTTAGTTAACAATGAAACGAGATATGTAGTATTTTCTTTCAATATGGAAATTTCTCCAATTCGCCTCGTTATTCGTAGCCAAAATATTTTCTTATTGTGTCAATAAATCGCTATACGCTTTTGCGTATGGATACTCAATTCCTGCTAATGCGGTTGGACTACTTTTCCTTTTCGTGTAAATGGGAAATAGCGCAAAGGGTGAGCCATTTTCCGGCGGGTTGTGAATATAGTTGTTCTGGTTATTTAGACAGTTTTGAAGTGTAATCGAAGTAATTTGTTTAAAAAGTATCTTTGGCAATCATATTTTTTATTAAAAGTAACCCAGAACAGCCATGTCAGAAAGAGAAGATAGTGTTTACAAGGCAAAATTGGCAGAGCAGGCAGAACGTTATGATGGTAGGTATTCAATTTTTCAAATTCAAGAGTTGAGTAGTTAGTTGTTTTAACTTTTAAGATTTTATCTTAATCTTATTCATACTTCTAAGTTCTAGTACTACTGTTCATAGTCTGATCTTTAATGATTAATGCTTGAACTTGAAGGGGCCTATTTTACTGTTCTAGATCCAAGACAAGCTGTTGGTAATACTAGTACTACTACTAGTGTGTGTTCGATGACGAGAAACCCACTGAGACTAATAATGGTTGGAGGCACCTAATGATGACAAAACCTTGTCCATTTGCTGTTATGTTAAACTTATATTAAAGTTTTTCTTCATTACCCATTAAAGCCGTCTCCAACCATTACTAGAGTGTGTATATATGTAGCATATAGATAGTATCAACGTTACTAACATTACTGTATTACTATTACTACAAGTTATAACAGTACAAGTAATAGAACTGCTGAGTATCACTATAACTTAAGGGTAACTTAGAATTGTTAAGTAGGATTATAAAACTTAAAAGGTTGGTATCAGTTCCTGATATAATAGAAAGTTTTTTTTTTCTTTGGTGGCACATAATGAATATATTTAAAGGCAATGAAAATAAACACGTAAAAATCAGTATGTAATGGTACTGGTAGTTCTGCTACTGCTAGTACTATTAGTGGTACTACTACTGGTATTACTATTAGGGCTGATAGTGATAAGTATGTCATCCCTAGTGCATGTATAGTGTCAAGATTTATGCAAGGGTCCATTGCAAAGACAATTTCCCTCAGTTTTTCAAGAAACATTAAAATTTTACAAATATATCCTTTGCACAGATATAAACTTACACATCCAATTTGGGTATGTTTTTGCAATGAAATGAAATCTGAAACACTTAAACCTCCAAATGAAATATTACACTATCTGTCATGCAACTCTTAAAAGTTAGTTACACAACAGACTTTTTGAAATAACATTTCAAAACAACCTCTAGCCCTATACCAGTTCTGCACTACTGGATATGTGCAAAAAATGTCCAAATTCCACACAAATGTTGGAATGAATTACAGAGTTTTTGTTAATGGGAAATGCAGAGTATCATTCATGGTTTGTAACATATGAAATGACATCAATTGAAGAAGCTATTCCACAATGAAAAAAGAGTTAGGTGTAACCTCTAAGACATAAGAGAAGCAGTTGGAAGCACTGCAGTCTCTATGTTAAAATATAGCATACTCCTGTAAGTTTGCCTACAGGTTTTAGAAAGTGACCATTTTATATTGTTAGTTAGCAGTACAAATCACAATCATTCCATAAATATGGCTAATAATACAGTTTAACAATTCACTAAATATGTCCTACTGACATAGCACTAGGATTGTTTTTAGTCATCAGTGTTCTTAACTTCTTGTAGTGATACTTTCTATTTAACCCATGTCATATTTTTAAATTATTTCTGCACCAGATTGTGGGTTTATGACTTTGATGGTTTTTGAGGTCCTTAAAACATAAAAAAAAAATTTAAGTAATATAAGTATTGCACTTAATCCTACAGATTACTGCACGAGTTCCCTATGTATTTTAAAGAGAAAATGGGTAATTTCACCTAAATTTTTGGACAGTTTTTTTTTAAATGAGTATTATAATATGCAAAAAAACTTGAAATTGCAAAGCAATATGTAGGCCTACTGCTACTGAACAATACAGAAAAGTAAGTTGATAATTTAGGGTTAAATAATTTGTTAATATTTTTGAAAAATTAATCAAAATTTGAGCATTTAGTTTCTAGAATTTTACTTGTTTAGATGCAACCATTGGCAAGGAAGAAGTTAATACAGTGACAGAGAATTTTTGATTACATGTTGTTTCATGTTTTTGTTTACTGTAAAAAAATTAATACATATGATAGGAATTTGATGTAAAGATTCAGGAAATAATTTCATAAGAAGTCAATGAAATGTACTAAAAGACTGAAAAGTATTTTTGTAAAGTCATTCATTTTTTGTCTTTGTAATTCAAAGGTTAACTATATTACAGTATATGTGGCTTGAATGGTAATGAATTTGATTTTTTTTATGTGGCATGTTATTTTTATATCTGAGTGAGTAATATATATTATAAATGTTTTAGAAATGGTAGAAGCAATGAAGAAAGTGGCTTCTATGGATGTCGAACTTACAGTTGAAGAAAGGAATCTTTTATCTGTTGCTTATAAGAATGTTATTGGTGCTCGAAGGGCTTCATGGAGGATAATTAGTAGTATTGAACAGAAAGAAGAAAGTAAAGGTACTGAAGGCAAAATTGAATTGGTCCGTCAATATCGTATCCAGGTAAATGATAGATCACTAGTGCTTTAATTAACACATTTATACATGCATAAGGAAAATGTCTATGTAGTAAGAGAGCTTTCAATTCAATGTTGTTAGTGTTTTATTAGCTGTATAGAGAAAAAAATATTAGTTATTTTTTGTGCTTTTGTTTTTGCATGTTCATTTTCTTTAATGTAAATATAAAACTATACAAATTTAGTGATTTCTTATTTCCAATATGGCTCAAATGCTTAAGAAATCGATAGAAGAAAGTCTGCCTTTTTGAATTTTTAGGTCAAACTTGAAATGGCCTGCTAAGGACTTTCTTTTGGTTTGTAATACTGATAGCAGCCAAAATATACCCAAAATAAAGAAGGTAGACATACATGGTCAGCAGACTGAAAGATAAAGAAAAAAAGATGAAACTTCCATTATGTCTTGACATTCCAAAACTACTCTCATATTCTGTATTTTATCTGTAGCTGGGTGATCACAAAATTGGATAACAAGTATCCAGAAGTATCTCTGATCCATATGACAATCATAAAGCAGTTCCACACATAAGGTTAAGTAGGACAATGTAACAATCCCATGAACTAGTATCCTGAGGGTTTAGTATGTTTTATTAATATAAACTTGAATATGTAAATTAGCAGATCAGTAAACAACCCCAGCCAGTATAAAATTATGGTAAAATGGCTTGTATCAGAACTACATTTTGGCATTTTGTAGGTAATATGATACCACTGAAAATTGATCACTTTTGGGAAGGAACAGCCATTTCCTATGCAAAATATTTGTGCACTCAGCTCAAAGATTTGGGATTTAGAATTTCCAAGATGGAGATATCCCCACTACTTAGTAGTTATTGGAAAACAAAGGAATATGAATTAATTTGGGGAAACAGGACTATCCAGAAAAAGACATGCAACAAGCCTTACCTGGGTGTCTTCTGACATGTGAGATTCCATTACACAAAATCAGTGGAAAAAGCTATCCACTTGCCCCAGACATCAGTACACAATACAGTCAAGAAGGATCTCTATTTGGAAATTAAGGTCACCGTGGTATGAGTTCACCAAGGTAAGGGCTCTAGTTATACCTTTCATTCAACTGTTGCATACATCAAGTAGCTAGAGAATGACATGGGCATTCGTGTTATTTTAAACAAATACATCATGGTCAAGTTGCTGGATGTAGTGTCTGTGGATTTCTGAGAGATCAGACTGTTAAAATGGGTGCTTTTGCACAAGATGGATCGTGGAAAACATACACTGGGTAGTGATGTGCAGGGGTGAACAGCTTTACAATAGACAATGCATATACCACTATCTTGCATATAAAAATATTCTAATATACCAACAGATCACTATCTAAACAGTTAATATATAACAAGAAACTCAAAAATACAAAATGGAGTCTTTAAAAGAAACAACATAAAAATGAATCTTTAAAAAACTAGCAGATAGCCATAATGTGTTTGCTATAAATACAAAATACCAATTTATTGTATTAAGACATGAATAAAGTTATCAAGATAAACACTATAGATGCTATCCCTTGAAACATGGAAAATCTTTTAACCCTGTTATGAATGATTTATATCTTTCAAGTGGTGGGTGCACACATATAGTGTCTATCTTTGTAAATACATATTTTTATATATATTTAAAAAAAATATTAGAAATAAAAATAGAGTACAAAATACATTCTTTTCACAGTAAATAAATCATTCACGTGTGTGTATTTGCCAGTTTGAAAAAAACAAAAGCCTGCATCAGTAATGAAACCAACACAAAGCATAGATCATTCCCACAGCAAGCTGCTGAGTTACACAGCAGTTTATAGGATTTGATATAAAGTCCTTTATATCAAATTCTACAAATTGTTTGAATTCTACCACTATTTGGAGATCTGTTGTACTTCTTTAGTTTCCCTTTCTGAGCAGTACTAAAGAGCCATGATTCTGTGAAACTGTAGTCTACTATAGAGAAAGTAGCAATTTGAATAATAGATTAGGTCTTTACATCATTCACAGATTCTTTTCTTCAATTAAATATGTTTTAGAGAAATAAAAAAAAATTGACAAATCACTTGTAAAGCATTTTTACCAGCTGGCTGTTTCTTGTAATTTGGGATTACTGTTGAAATACAAGTTATGTTATTCTAATTTTATTAATCGACACCAACAAAGTGCTTACTGTTTTGAACTTGTGCTGTAATTGTTTTGGGTGGCCCTTAGTTGAAATAAGAAGAGATAGCATCTAGTAAACATATCAAAATGTCATGTGTTGGATGACAAAAGTCACCAAAACCCACAAATACCCAAATTTAAAGCATTGAAGTTTATTTCAAGGAGTAAAATACTCTATATCAAGAGCTTATCTGGAGCACTGCACATACATGTGAAATTTCAAAATTTAAGTAAAAAATTTAAATGTATTTCAAAAACCTTTTACTCAAAATATTTAAGAATTAATATCTTTGTTATATAACAGTTATTTAGTGTATTTCAAAAAAAAAATGAAAAACAAAGTTCTAACTTTCTGGGGAGTTTAACCACTTGTAACTTAGCTTTGAAAATAGCTAGATCCCAAGGCTAAAAATGTATGGATAGAGGAGATATTAATGTGTATATACCACAATAGAATAAACACAATGATTTTAGGATTGATTTGTGGTTTGTCAACATGTTAGCCAGCTGCAATTCTTGTAGGGTGAACAGAGGATCAAAATGCAAAGTTCCAGGGATTTGAAGACAACTCACAGACCTAAGAATTTTTGTTTTGTGTGCCTAATAATTTTTTTATGGTATTTCTGTTTGAAAGCTACAATAATATTTTTGTATAGCAAAACACCAGATAGGAATAATTTAGGTTTAGAAAGTATGGTAAGCTAGACAGCAATGGCAAGCTATTTGGATAATGAAAATTGTTGTTAAGACTATTAGACTTAAATTTTTATCAACCAAAAATGTTGTAGACAGGATATTACACCACACTACCTGACAAAGGTAATGATTTCATTTTGAAAGCTGAAGTCATAATTTCTTGACAAAACTGATGGTCATATGGTATTTGATTTATTAGCAAGAAATATTGTGCTTCAATTGGTAAAATTAAGTATCAAAATAAATTTTCATGAATATTAACCCAATTAAAACTGAGTAAATATATAAAATTGAACTTATGAACTATAGAAAGTAAAGATGAAAGGAATTTTTTTTTACAGCTTCTTCAAATCACGTTTTACAACAAACTTTCACAGACTTAGAATTATAAAAATTCTATATCATATTTAGTTTTTCCCATCCAAGTGTCATGCAATTTTGTTAATTATTTTAAATGTGGGAATGAAAATATATAACTTGGTGAAATATTCACATTAAGAAAAGAAATATAGTACACACTTACTATTTGTCAAGAAATATGGTTATGATACTAAATGTCCTAAATGCAGAGATTAAAATGATTGATATATTGGAAATCAAAGTATTATAAGAAATATTAGAATCATGGTAATATAAAAAAATCTTTAATTACAATTGTTTTTTAATTTTTCTTCCAATTTTATCATTGATGTGAAAAATTAAGCATAAAAATATCAAGCTTTTAAGTGAGGTATTTATGGATAAGAAAAACACATTAATATAAAAAAAATACTATAGAAACAAATGTGAATGCTGATAAATTGATAAATTAAATAACTTAAACCTTCCTGTACTATGTAGTGTTTAAGCCACACATGACAACAACCAGACTTGTTTTACCTTTTCAGTGCTTCCTCTCTAGCTGGAAGCAGAGAGCTAGTCACAATTAAATGGGAGTCTTGTTTGTGTAGGTTAACAACTTGTCATAATTCCATATTGTTAGTTTAATATTAGTCCATGTCCAACAATTCTGCCAAATGGTTAAATGACTGAGGTATTCAGTAATCAGCATTTGTTGGAGTGAATAAAGAATATTGAATGTTAACTTTAGTTTTACCCTAAGTAATATATTAAGTTAGAGCAACAGTGTTATTTATACAAACAAGGTAAACAGGCATCACTCTGACAATTTACGTGATTAGTGGCCATTAGGCCTCATTCTCACATTGGAAGAAACATATGCACCAATGGAAGTAGTTACAGCTAATGTTTCAATTCCTTTACTTAGTAAGGATACCTTTACTAAGCTGTTAAGTAATCTCTGGACATGTGACCTCTGTTCCATCATGTATACATATTCCTGTGTCTGTGTAAGCTACTTGTACCTTATAATGACATGATCTTGTCAAAACATTATACATTTGTAATAAAGTTTTCTTCATTACCCATTCAAGTCATCTCCAAACTTTTATTCTCTGCTTCAGTGATTAAATGATTAAATTCTTTGTTCTTGATGATTAACTATTCATTGATCAAACGTTCTGCAATATTTGTTAACATGGGCATTACAACAGACAAGTTGTCAATTAGATTAACATGAGATTTACATTCATAGTTATGTTTAGCCAATTCAGTGAAAACATTTTCTAAAATATCTTTCAACAGCTCTGTTGCTTCTTCTGTTAGTTTTACTACATCTCAAACAACGGTTATCTCTTAATACTGCTTGTTCCTCAGACATAATACATTCTTTACAAAGAGTTTGTGCAACAGGTTTTCAATATTTTGAAGTACAGCCATATTTGGGCAGCAGGTCTCCTGGCAGCTCTTGGTACAATTGTGACCTACTAAAGCAAAATCATAACTATTTGTTAATTGATTTGTATGACAAGCTGTTTAACTGTTGGTCTTTTCACACATATATCCTCCACTTATTACTTTCCGTTAACCCTATCACCATGGGTATCCTTCACTGCACATGACACAAGTTTTTAGTGTCTTAATTTCAAAATTTTATTAAACTACTTTTTGTTTATGTTATGCCAATTAGAATAGTATAAAATCTTAGCTAATAATCCATATTTTAGTAGTATACAAGTTTTAAGTTCTTAATTCTAAAAGGCAATATTTAAAAAAAATCCCAAATTTCCGA